GAGGAGGAGGAGGAGGAGGAGGGGGAGGCGGAGGAGGAGGAGAGGGGTGGAGGAGGAGGAGGAGGAACTGGGGGAAGAAGAGGAGGAAGACAAAGAGGAAGACGAAGAGGAGGATGAGGAAAACTAATACTAATAATAATAATAAGAATAATAATAATATTAATCGTAATAATACTAATCATTATACGAATGATAATAATAATAGTAATAATAATGATAATAATAATAATGATGATAATGATAATGATAATAATAATAATAATAACATGCAGAGGAGGAGGAGGAGGAGGAGGAGGAGGAAGAGAGAGAGGAGGAGAGAGCGAGAGGAGGAGGAGAGATAGAGAGAGAGAGAGAGAGGGAAGGGGAGGAGGAGGAAGAAGAGGAAAAAGAGGAAGAGTAGGAAGAACATGAATAATATGAACAAGTGTTAAGAAAGTGAAGAAGAAGGTGATGGAGCAGAGGAAGGAGAAACACAATAATAATACCTTTAATGGGAGGAAGGAGAGGACTAATGGTATTAATGCTAATAATACGGATAATGATAATAATAATAATGATAAGACGATAAGAAGAATACTATCATTAGTGACATATGCAGAGACAGCAGAATAGTAATAATACTAAGGAGGACAAGAAGACGAAGAAGAAGAGGAGGAGCGGAGGACGTGGATTATGAGGAGAAGCATGGCAGTACAAGCATCGCGGCTTCCAAGGGGTTCCAATCCCAATCCTTCACGCGTGGGGGCGCCCCGCCCTCCCGCCCACGCCCGCCCTTCTGTCCCGCTCCCCCTCTCATCCCTCTCCTCCTCCTCTTCCTCCTTGGCTGCGCACCGCGGGTCCCTTGGCCGCGGGCGCACTATGATTCGGAGCTGGCGCACCCCCCCACACCATCATCATCATCATCATCATCATCATCATCATCATCATCATCATCACCATCACCATCACCATCACCATCACCATCATCATCATCATCATCATCATCATCATCATCACCAACACCAGCACCAACACCAACACCATCATCATCGTCACCATCACCATCATCATTATCATCATCATCATCATCATCATCATCATCACCACAACCACCATCATCACCATTATCATCATCATCTTGATCCTCTTGATCCTCTTCCTCCTCCTCCTGCTCCTCCTGCTCCTCCTCCCGATCATCCTCCCCACTCTCCTCTCGATCCTCCTCTCCCTTCTCCTCTCGGTCCTCCTCCTCCTCCTCCTCCTCCTCCTCCTCCTCCTCCCTCCTCTCTCTAGATCCTCCGTACTCGTCAGAGGGAGATCGATCCTCTCTCCTCCTCTTCCTACTCGATCCTCCTCCTCCTCCTCCTCCCCCTTCTCCCCCTCCTCCTCCTCCTCCTCCTCCCTCTACTCCCCCTCCGCCTCCTCCTCCACCCTCCTCCTCATCCTTCCTCCTCCTCCTCCTCCTCCTCCTCCTCCTCCTCCTCCTCCTCCTCCTCCTCCTCCTCCTCCTCCTCCTCTCGATCCTCCCCTCGCTCTTCCGACCGCGTTGGGCCCCGCGCGTCTCTGGCTTGGGGCCGAGCCGCGGGCACCGGGCGCGCCGCCGCCGCCGCGCGCCCCGCAGGGAGAGCGGCGCCGGCGCCGGCGGTGGGGACGGCCTCCCCGAGGGCGCGGCGGGCTCGGCGGGCGGCGGCGAGGCCGTGCTCCACGCCAGCTCCAGGAGGAGAAGGAGGAGGAGGAGGAAGAGGAGGAGGAGGAGGAGGAAATATGAAGGAGGAGGAGGAGAAGGAGGAGGAGAACGCGGGGCGCTGCCTCTGCAAGTCGAGTTCCCGACGCCACATGGGCGGTTGGGGAGCATGTACACCAGACGGACCTTCGACGCAGTTTTTGGCCGTTGTCATTCTCCACGGGGCCCCCCCACGAGCCCCGCGGGGCCCCCAGCGGGCCCCTGGCGCGCGTCCAGAGAGAGCAGCTGCTGGCGCGGTCCACCGAGCACCGGGCACGACGCCGACGCCGATGCCGACGACGCCGCCGCCGCCGCCGCCGCCGCCGCCGACGACGACGACGACGACGACGACGACGACGACGACGGCAGCGAAGGCGACGACGACGGCGGCGACGACGACGACGATGCGGGGGGCTTTGATGCAGGGTGGCGGTGACGACGCCGCTCCAGCTGCCCGCGGGGAGCTCCGAGGCCGAATCACAAGTTGGGGCGGTCGGTTTGGGGCAGTTTGGGAGGCCTCCGGGGGGCCTGCAGCTGGCCACAGGACCGCCGAAGAACGACTCGGGGCAGAGAGGATCTGCCCTGGGAAGCGGTCCAGACCTCCTGGCGTGTTCCATGGGCTTGGTGCGAGCCCGTGGGGCAGGAGGAGGGGGCTGCATGGGGGAGGGAGGAGGCGGGAGGAGGGAGGGGGGGGGGAGGGATGAGGGAGGAGGGGGCAACATGGAGGAGGCAAGAGGGACGAGAGGAGAGTGGGGGGAGAAGAGGGGGAGGGAGGAAGAAGGAGGGGTCTGCACGGAGGAGGGAAGAGGGAGAGGAAAAAGGGTGGACGAGGGGGGGAAGGGAGGGGGCTGCGTGGACGAGGGAGGAGGGAGGAGGGGGGAATGAGGATCGGTAATCAAGCATGGCTCAAGCGGGTGAGGTAGAGGATGAGGAGAAGGGGGAGGGACGACGATTCGCTACCACAGGACTCGGAGGAGTGGCTCGAGCTAGGCAAGCACTGGCAAGTACCCCCGATACCCGCTCAGACGAGACACATAGACACAAAGGTCGACGTCTATCAACAGGTACTTGGACTGCGGCCGCAGCATGGCCACAGCCACCCGAGCTTCTACGCCGTCCATCTCTTCAGCGGCAGGAGGAGGGTAGGATACACTCAGATCGACCCGTAAATAATGCTGGCAAAGGACCGCGCCAACATCTACGTGCTCAGCGTCATCATCATCTACGGCGAAACGGGCGACACTGGAAACCCCGAGGCGCGCGCTTCTTCTTGTGCACAGCGGCATGCCAAGGCAGGATGGTGGCCTGGCTTGCTGGACCACCATGCGAAACGTGGTCTGCGGCACGCTTCAACATGATCGAAGAATTTCGCAAGCGACCTTGCCCAGTTCGCAGCGCCAACGCACTCAGGGGTTTCAAGAAGGCCAGCATTAAGGAATGGGCACGGCTGCAGGTTGGCCACTGGCTGCTTCGCTCCACGCGCCTGCTGGAGAAAGCAGCACCACATCGGGCACTGTGGGCACTGCCGAACACCCAGACCTTCCAACGTGGAGGGTTCAAGCACCGAGCATGTGGCTTCTGCCTTGAGAGAGAGCGGTGACAAAAAACGAGGCAGCAAACACGCGGCATTTCACCAGAACGCGCCAGGCGCCGAGACCACTGAGCCCACGACGCAGCTCACGGGCAGCGCCAGCGGCACGAAACACCCGATACAGCAGCTCCCCAATCGAGGACGCTGCGATCACGGCCGAGGAGCTCAACGGCAGCTTCTCGGAGGAGGCCGCGCACGAGGGCGACCTCCCGCGCGCGGGGCCGCAGAGAACCCGAGAGTGCACGACCCGGCTCCTCGCCGAGGGCAGCCGGCAGCGTCTCGACGACATGAGGAGGAGGAGAAGGAGGAGGAGGATGAGGAGGAGGAGGAGGAGGATGACGAGAAGGAAGAGGTAAATGATGGGAAGGAGAAGGAGGAGGTCGAAGAGAAAAGGGCGGCATGTGCGGATCTTTGGCTGTTGGCCTCTCTGAGGCGTCTTGCCCCGGCGTGCCGGGAGACGCCCCCTGGCTGCCCGTCGATCGGGGGCCCCAAAAACGGGGTGGTGACCACACCGTGTGGTGAGTCGGTGGGGAGGAGGAGGAGGAGGAGGAGGAGGAGGAGGAGAGGAGGAGGGAGGAGGAGGAGGAGGCGGAGGAGGAGGAGGAGGGAGGAGGGGGGATCGGAGTCACCGCACTGTTTTGGGACTAGGGTCGTCCTCCGAGGAACGGTTTTTCGGGCGACTGGGGACTCCGAGGGTCCCAAGCCTGCGGTGGACGGCCGTGCGGTGAGGTCTTGGGGGATTTCGAGCTCACCGCACGGCCTGCCACCGCACTGTTCCGGGACTCCAAAAAGTCGCGGCGGGGCCTCCCGCCATCCCGGAAGAGGACACGCGGGCAGCAGCAGCCGGCGAGGGCTCCGCGGGCAGGGCCTCCTCTGTGGCCCTCGAGAGGGGGGCGGGCCCCCCCCGCCCCGCGGCCCTCGAGGGGCCTGGGCGGCAGTGGCAGCAGCCGAGCCCCGCTGTGGCCACGGCAGTGGCGGGGCGCAGCGCGCCCTCGCGGCTCGCCTCTCCCGGCTCTCGCCGCGGCTCGCTCTTCGCGAGCGGGTTTCGAAGGCGTCGTGGCGAAAGCGAGGAGGAGGAGGGGCGAGGGGAGGAGGAGGAGGAGGAGGAGGAGGAGGAGGAGGAGGAAGAGGAGGAGGAGGAGGGAGGAGGAGGAGGAGGAGGAGGAGGAGGAGGAGCGAGGAGGAGGAGGAGGAGTAGAGGAGTAGGAGGGGAGGAGGGGAGGAGGGGAGGAAGAAGGAGGGGGAGATGTGGGGGAAGATGACCGGGCCTGCCCGGCGTCTTTCCGTCCTTTCTGGGCCCCCTGGCGGCTTCTCGCGCCGCCGCGGCTGGACCCGCCTCGGAGAGCGGATCAGGACGGAGCCTGGGAAAGGCCTGGGGATCGATGCTGCGGGGTTCGGGGCAGAGCTGGGCTGTGCCGCTGTGGGAGGAGGTGTGAGGGGAAGGAGGATCGAGGAAATCAGAGCGTGAATTACCTAATTACCCCGCTTTCGCTTCCAGGCAAAACCAAGTCATACCACGCGCCTCCTCGTCAAGCGGCCTGACCAGTACAGGCCGTAGTTTGCCATCGTTTGGTATCTCTTGGAAGCGAGGGTGGTCAAAAGCGAGGTAGGTTTGTTTGCCCCCTAGGAAAGGAAAAGTGGCACGCACATGGACTGTCGGAGCTTCGCGCGGAGTTCTCGGCTCTGCGCTGGGGCCCTTTTCCGCGGCGTCTCCAGCGCTGCCCTTGGCGCGCTCCGCGCGCCACGGATAGGGGTCCAGTGCCAGTCCACGAAGTCCGCGTGGACTTCCGAAGGTTCGAAGGAACGGTGAGGCTGCGGGCTTCGCGCAGACCGCCCCCGTGAGGCAGTCCCCGCTGGCCTCCATCAGGCCCGCGAGTAGTTCCAGCTGTGGTTCTACCAAGCTCACCGAGCAGTCTGGAGCGGTCTCATCACCCCGGCGCCGCCCGCAGCGGCGCCCCTATATGGCGTTCCACGCTCCAGGGTCGGGGTGCTGAGCCGTCCCGGACGATTCGGGGAGACGCTCAGCCCGGCCGGGGCCTTGTGGGGGGCATGGTGGGGCCAGTTGGGACGACCAGTGCGCAGCCCGAAGCGTTTCCAACCCCTTCCTTCCCCCTCCTCCTCCTCCTCCTCCTCCTCCTCCTCCTCCCTTTCCTTTTCCTCCTCCTCCTCCTCGTCCTCTTGAGACAAAATTGAGGAAGCGCTTCAGCAACAGCGCCGCGGCTGCGCGCAGCGAGGCGCCGACGTGCAGCACGCGTAGCATGATCCAGGCAGCGCGCCCCGTGCATGTTTTTGCTTGGGCGCGCTGGGTGGCGAAACGACGTCGACAACGAGAGGAGGGAGAGCATGGATCAGGGAGGTGTCGGGGGCGGCAAAGAGGGGGGTGATGACTAGGGGGGGGGGGATATCATGGCGGGGGCCATGATATATCCCCAGATTTCCCGGCGCCTCTTCTTCTCATTTCATTGCGTCCCTGGCCCCCCGTCCGCACACATGCCGCCGGCCATGATTTGCACCCCCCCTCTTGGACCCCCCCCCCCTCTTGGCCGCTCCCGGAGGTGGTTGGAGGCATTTGCCAACCTGGGGCACAACTGGTCTTATCCCTGTGGTGTGCATCGCTGCACGTCGCTGCCGATCCCAGTGTTCGAGGGCGCACCCTCGAGATTGGCGTCGCCGCCTGGCGTGTCAGTCTTAGGGATAGGGATCGGCCCGACGCTGGTTATTCTCAGGAGGGACAAAAAACACACAGACACAATTAATCGTCGATTCTCAGAAAATATAGGAAAATATGGGAAGTGGGGGGGAAGACAGAAACCCAGAAAATATAGGAAAATATGGGAAATCTTTCATTTGTATGTATTTATTTGTGTGTCCTGGGGCCCCTTCAAACGATGCTGACGACGGCGATGGATTTGCGCCCGCCGCGCGGAGCACGCCCCCCGAGGCGCGCACGTCGCTCCGCAGGGCCTTCTCGGCCGCCTCGAAGGTGCCCGAGGACGCGGCGCGGGGGGCCTTCTGCCCCATTCCCCGTCCTTCGCCCGGCGTCGTTCTCCGCCGCATCCTTCGGGAGCCTCGAGAGGGGGGTCAGTGCAGACGGGGGTCAGCCAGGGCGCCGGATCCTGCAGGATCCTGCGAAGACCCCCTCTGGCCGACCCGGGTTAGCGAGCCGCTCGTGGCCGCGAGGCGGCCGCTCGTATCGGCTGACCCGGATTTGCGAAGACCTGCGTTGCAGTTTTTTTTCCTGCATTGCAGTTATTGGTTTCCTGCTGACCCGGGTCTGGATTGACCCGTGTCAGAAGATCCCCGAATCCTTCTTCTGGGCATTTTCTTTGGGTGGAGGGCAGAGGGTGAAATCTGAAGTGCCGTTTCGATGGATTTTCGAGGCTCGAAGCTGCAAAAGGTAAACCAGAAGACGGATGGATATTCGAGGTGCAAAGGCCCATATGGACTTCACCTTGAGCCCTCCACCCTAAGACAATGCTCAGTTCTCCTCCTCCTCCTCCTCATCCCTCGTCGTCGTCGTCGTCGTCATCGTCCTTGTCAACCTCCTCGTCCTCCAAGGCCGAGGTGCCGACCTTTCTCCGTACCGACTGTTGATGTCTTGCGGACTTTCCGTCTGCGCGCTCTATCCCCCCTCCGTTCGGCACGGACGAAATGGGCACGGAAAGAATGGTTACAATACCCAACAGCAGTTCCTGCTCATTTTGAACAGGACTCGTTGTCCGCGCCGCCGCGGCCTGTGCCTACTTGAGACAGAAGGCCGCCCGCCCAACAGCGGCCGCTGTTGGTTTGGGACAACATTTGTTGTTGGGCACTGTACCCATTTGTTCCGTACCCATTCCGGGCGCCCAGAACCGTTTTTGTATGCCATCGTTCCCACAGTCCCCCATGGCGCGGAGCTTTGTTGTGCACGATGTACGTTGGTCTGTACAACGTGGCGGGGCGGTCGACGTGAGAACGACACACGACACGGAGGATCTGCAGGCCATAGGCCATAGGTGGCACGAAACGACGCAACTGCACGGATGACACGTGCGTGAACATCGTGGATCGCACACATACCATCCTCAATTGGGGAGCGCATGCGTCGCACGCGGGGGTACGGATAGCTCACCTATGCGATCTCGGCGAGTTTCCCACTTTCAAACCAGTGTCATTCGCGCTTCAGGGGAAAATTGGTTCCGTCCTACTCCGCTGGGGCGCTTGCACCGTCTGTTGTTTGTGGTATGCTTCCCGCCGCGGCCTTCAAAGACACGTCGCAACCTCTGAGACAGCAAGACAACATGTGCCATCTTTGAATGGATCACGCAAGATCAATTGCGAACAGCCCAGTAAATGCTCCATCGTATTATTTTGCGGTATAACCGATCCCCCTGGCATCCCACCCCCTGGTCCTGTTGATGGTCCTATCAGCCGTGTCGGCCTTCTCCACCGTGCACACGAACACGATTGCACGCACGAGCCCGAGGGGTACATGGAGGACTTTGTCCTTGATCTAAACAGTACTTACGTTGGGGTCGAAGCGGCATTCTATGGCAGGAAACCGCAGGCCAGGCATGATTTCTTCAGGATTCCCCCTGCGTTGTTATGTCATGTACTTCAGATCGTACCCGTTCGACAACGATGAGACCACGACCCTCTTGTCATCCAGGTCGACTATGTCCCATCGTTCTCGCACTCGCAAAGAAGGAAAAAGGAAAAGAGGTGCGACAGGACAGGGCGGCAGGGTGGTGGTGAACGGACTGTGGAGGGGAACGGTGTCAAAGGAGGTGGAGGACATGTGCCATCGTACGTATCCACACTGGCACGCATTGTGAGGCACAGCTGCACCACACGTCGTTTGGGAAACCCCTTTATCTCTGCGGTGAGGCCCCTTGCTTTTAGGTGCTTTGCACTGTGTATGCGGGGGGAATCGCACGTATGCACAAGCACGACGAGTGCAGCAGGATCTATTGCATGACTGGGCACGGCTACGACGACAGACCAGCGCATTTGCCGAGGAGCAGCAGCAGGAGTCAAAATCACACGGTAGCAATTGTTCAGGACAATTCGAAAGGATCGCGAGGAGGGCCAGAGATTTGCGGAACAGAGTTCACAAGGACCAGCGGGGCAGTTATGTGGAGCCCTTTCAGCAACAGCAGTGGAGCCCTTCAGCAACAGCAACATAGGGTTACGCGACGATTAGCATGCACATCGGTGGTTCCGGGCCATGAATATTACAGCACGCGCATATCGTACAAGCTTGCACGAGAAATGCGGCGCGAACGCCCTGCAGCTCCAGGGCTAGAAGGTGGCCAATCTTGCGATGTGATTGATTTCGCGATCTGTCAACCTGATCGCCACGAGCAAGGCATGGGCTACGATTTGTATGAACCAGACGTGAAAGACGAGGCCACGCGTGCTATTTGTGGAGTCGCATCTACAGCGAAAGCTGATTGAGGGAATCCCTACCATGAATTGGTTTTAACGGAGACTGGTGCGCGTCTTGTGGGATGTTAGGGTAAGCTGCACATTCCGCATTAATTGGCTATGCTCTTCGTGTTGTTCTCTCTCTCTCTCTCGCTCTCTCTCTCTCCGCCGACGGACAGGACTGGCATGAAGGCCACGCGACGCGTGCGCAGGACTTGCCCGTTCAGTGAGGCGTCATCTCCGCGTCTCCCGTGCCCGACATGCAGTCCTGCGACGAGAACACCATCATCGGGCTGCTGGCAACCTTTTGATTATCCCCTGGCCTCGGAGGGGGCTGATGCCGAACGCGCTCTTGATGATATCGTGCCTGCAGTCCGTGCTGGGCGACGCGGCGGCCGCGGCCGTGGGAGATCTGAAAGGCGAGACCTCCAGGTTGCCCTTGGACCCCCCTGTGCTTGGGCTTGCCCTCCCAACCTTCAGCCCCATGGCGTCCCCCAGCACCTTTGCGTGCGCCTCCATCTTCGCCCCCGTCTTGCAAGCGTAGAATTTGGTGCGGACGTGGCTCAACGCATTCGACACCTCCTGGTACTAACGCTTGCGCTCGTCCTTGTGCATGTTCAGCCTCTGCTGCAGCACAACATGTAGGAGACTCTTCGATTTCGCCCGCGTGGTGAGCTGTGTAAGCGGAAGGAAGAACTGCATGTTGTTCTTCATGAACTCATCCGTGCCCCCTTGCAGTAGGCAGCGCTCGATCAAGCCAATGTGCTGTTTCACCGGCGCCTTCAGCTGATCGTTTCTGACGGAGGAAGTTCGCACCTTCACCCCCCCCCGTCCTGTCCACGGCCATAATGGCCACGCCCGCGCGGAACGCTCGAACAAGAGAAGCGCGATGCCTTTCGTGCCTTCGCTGCTAGGGAACGTGCATGTACGGATGATATGCGATGCTCCTCGCAGGGGGTGCGGATGACATGATATACCCCTCATTCAGGGGATACAAGAACGATGCGCTCACGAATAAAAACTAACTCCGCCCAAAAATCCTGGATTGAACGAAAGTGCGATCCATGAAATATGTGAGATCTTGGAGATCAAGGTCGGGGGATCCATGAATCCATGAAGAATGATGATCCATGAATCCATGATGATCCGGACAATAGATCGATCTTGGAGGCTCAAGCTCGGGGGAAAGCCCTCCGATCTCGACAGGACCTCGACCAATTGGCTACGGTTGTGGCCGGGTTTGATTTGGTCAGCTTTGGACGCCGCATCGACCACGGCCAGTACGATGCTGGTCTCGGTGTTCCGACAAATTGCGTCGTCGATGTGGTTGTGGTTGCTTGCTGTCCCCCCCAAACGTGGAACACATTCGTCGTCGTCAGGATCATCCTTCATATATGCCTCTTTCCCCCCTCCCTGATCAATGCTCTCCCTCCTGTCGCTGCTGCTGTCATTTCGCTACCGAGTGCGTCCACGCAGGTGCACGCACGGGACGCGCTGCCCACGAACGTCCGCGCCTCACCGCTCGCATCCGGGACGCTCCTGCTGCTGACGTTCCGCCTGCCCTGGTCTCCTTTCGGTCGGGCTTCGGGCTGCGCGCTGACGGACCCCCAGATAGTCTCGGCTGGCCTCCGCAGGCGCCCCGAGTAGTCCCAGCTGGCCTCAGCGACCCGCCCGTGCAGCCCAGGCCGGTCTCAGCGCCCCGACCCTAGACCGCGGAGCGCCCTTGGGACGCACTGCCGAGATCACTGAACGACTCATCGTCGTTGTCGTCGGAATCATCGTCGTCGCATCCTCCCACTTTGGGCGGGGCCTGTAGGCCTATAGGCATTTCGATTGGGCCTCTAATCCTCCCAGGGCCTGTAGGTCTAAAGCCGTTCAAATAAATCCGTGGGAACCTCGGCGGGTTTGCGTGGACCCCCGGTCGCCCGAACTCCTTGGGGGCCCCGAAAAAAACATTGGAAGGCCCCCCCGTGAGCCCCCAAACGGCGCCAGAACAGTCGTGAAGACCCCCCACGCGGCCCATGGGGGTCCCCAAACTATCCAAGACGGCCCCGGGACGGTCCACGAGGTTCCCAAGACAGCCAAACAGGACCCTGGGAGGGGCCCCAGGAGGGGCCCAAGATGGACCCAACACAGCCCAAGAGGCGTTCAAAATGGCCCAAGGCAGTCGCAAGATGACCCGACAAGCGTCCCACAAGGCATCAGAGGGCCCCAGGAACCCCCCCAGGAGTTCCAAAAGGGTTTCCTACAGGGCCCCCAACGACAACCAACTGGCTACACATGTGCCTCCTACAGGTGGGGGCGGATGGCAGACCAGAGGCCCCACCCATTCCCAGCCCTCGCTTCCCCACGCTTCTGCCCGCTCCTCCCGTTCCTCGTGTTCCTCGCGTTTCTCCTCCCTGCTCTTGCTTCTCATTATCCTTCATCCGCCTCCTCGACTGCTCCGCTACGACGACGGCGACGACCACGCCCACGACGAAGATGACAACGACGGCGACGACGACGATGAACACGACAAGGAGGACGACCATGATGACGACGACGACGACGCGAAATCTACGGCGGTCGCTGACTGCGTTGCACACCCCAGAAAGCACCGCCAAAATTCTACCCCGTCAACCCCCTATATTTAATCCGCGCGTCCACACTAGTGTGTATATATATGTATGTACAAATATACGAGGCTGCATTGGCGCTGCGCGCCATGCACCTTGGTCCTATGAGTTTCGCACGCAAGCGGGGTGCGTGTGTGCGTACATGTGCGCAGGCATGCACGCTCTGCACATATATCGATGTGTGTACCACACATCAATCGCAGGTGTTTGTTGGTGCACGCACCTATATGTAATTATGGGTGCGCATGCACATGCGTATCAAAGGATGTAATGGCCTGACAGCCTGCTCAGGGCATCTCGCAACTCAGATGTGCGAGGGTCGCAGACGAAAGTAGCCAGACTACTACGGGGCAGTGCATCTCCAATGTCGGCGTTGCGAGGATGTTTCAAGCGAAAGTGAACTGACCACCTCAGCTGAGGACATACCCGAACCCGGAATTGCTCGATGTCTCAAACGAAAATGGCCTGAACACCTCAGCTCAGGGCATCCCTGAATCCAAAGTTGCGAGGATGTCTCAGGTGAAAGTGGCGGACTACTCTGCGGCAGGGCATCTCGGAATCCAGAGTTGCGAGGATGTTTCTAGCGAAAGTGGCAGGAACACCTCAGCTCAGGGAACCCTGGAAACCAGAGTTGCGAGAAGGTCTCAAGCGGAAGTGGCCGGACAACCTTGGGGCAGGGCTTCTTCGGGGTCAGAGTTGCGAGGATGTCTCAGCCGACAGTGGGAAGGAGGAAGGCAAAGGGAAAGAGTTATGGGAGGAGTCCCGCGGATCCGAGGACAGGCAGGCACGAACGCTCAGGATCGGAAGTCATGGCATGGAGGCTGGAACTGATGCGGATGCAAGACGCTGGGAGCTGGCCTCCGAGAGCGTTGAAAGACAGGAGGACCTGAGAGGGACTCAACGACGGGCGCCGCCAGAACTTTTCTGGGAAAAATCTGGAGGCATTGTCAACGTGTCGGAGTGCTACGTGTCTGATTGCTACGCGGCAAGGCGTATCCGAGGTTGACGTTGTGAGGATGTCTCAGGCGAAATTGGCCCGAGCACTATGGGGCAGGGCATCTCCGAAGTCAGCTGTGCGAGGGAGTCTCAAGCGAAGAGTGGTCTGAACACCTCAGGCCGGAAGGTCGAATAACCCCCTTGCAAGAGCGTCCGAGCAGCCCCCGGGGAGCTTCCCAGCAGGTCAAGCAGCCCGGGAAGGGGCTTCCCAGCAGCCCGGGGAGTCCGAAATGCGTTCGAGGGGGGATGTGTGTGTGCATATGTGAATTTATTTTGCGTATGCATGCATGTGCGTGTGTATGTATGTATGCACGTATGGATATCAAATGACAACGCCTTCCAACGCCTGAACGTCCCAAGAGCGTTTGACGCTCGTTTTACACGGTAGGTTATTGTTAAACGATGTCTACATCCGTGCAATAATCGTTTTACAGGGGAGTTCCATGTAAAACGCTCTTGGGCCATCTTGGGCCGCTCGTGGCCCGAAAAAGCGAAAACCGAAAAAATCTTTAAACCTTCTCAACAAATGGACTCTCTTGGGCCGTTTTGGGGCCCTTTCGGGCCGTCTTGGGGCGTCTTGGAGGCCTTCGGCCGTCTTCGGGCTGTCTTGGGGGCCTCTTGGGGCCCTCTTGGAAGCCTCTTGGGGTGCTCCTGAGGCTCTCTTGGGGCCGTCTTGGAACTTCCTTTGTAGTTTTCGGGACCTCTTGGGCCGTCTAGGGGCCCTCTTGGACCGTTTTCGAGCCCTTTGGGGGGCCTCTGGGGCCGTGTTGGGGCGATCTTTGGAGCCTCTTGGGCCGTCTTGGGCCGTTCTTGTCCCGGATAAGCGAAAACCAAAAAAGCCTTCAAAAGCCATTGAACAAAAATATTAAGTTTGCCTCTTCGGGCCCTCTTGGGAAGCCTCTTGGAGGCCTCTTGGGGCGTTTGGAAGCCATGTTGAAGGTTTTGGTGTCGACGAGCTGCCTTGGGCAATATTGGAGGCATCTTTGGACATGCTGAGACGGCCGGAAGGCCGAAGGAACCCTTGGCAAGGACGTCCGAGCAGCCCGGGGGGGGGCTTCAAGCAGCCCGGGGAGTCCGAAATTCGTCAGGTGGTGGTGGGGGGGGCGTTTTTCTTGGGTCCCCGGCCCTATAACAATAGATAGTTAGGAATGCATATATACAAATATATGTGTATGTATATATATACACACATACACATACACATACATACATATGTTGGCCTTCCTACAGGGCGTGCTGGCCTACAGGCATTGACCTCCCAGCATCCCTCTAGGCCTGTTCGGGTGTTGCTAGACGTGCCCCTGGCCCAAGGTGCCCCCAGGATTTCTCGGGAAGCCCCGACGGCATCCAGAGCACCCCTTACGAGGCCTAGGAATCCAGAATGGAGCGAAAAGCTGGGGCCACCCTGGGCCAGGGGTACCTGTAGCAACCCCCGGCCCGCGGCTATACCCAGACGCGCGACGTCCTGATCTTTTCAGTGCGCGGTCCCCGAAAGTCCCGGCCCCTTCCCAGGGACCGTCCTCTGGAGTCGTCAGTGCTCGCTCCCCTCCTCGAATCTGCGGGGGGGGGGCTGGGCACGTGCTGCCGGCACGGGTGCAGGGGCGTTGGAGGAAGGGGGGAGGAGGACGAGGAGGGGGCGGCGCGGAGGAGGAGGGCCGCGGGGCCTGGGCCGGCCCAGCGAGGAGGTGCACATCGGCCCCCCCCCCGGAGGACGAGGAGGAGGAGGAGGAGGAGGAGGAGGAGGGGAGGAGGAGGGGGTAGGAGGAGGAGGAGGAGGGAGCGGAGGAGGGAGGAAGGAGGACTGATGAGATGAGATTGAGGAGGAACGGGGGGAGGAGGAGGAGGAGGAGGAGGAGGGGCTCCGCCCAGCGCGGGCCGCGCCCTCCCCCCCGGCGCGTGGCCGAGGACGCCCGCGGCGCCGGGTCCCGCCGCGCCCCGCGCGGAGGCGGGCGCTCGCGCCGCTCGGGCTCTGTTGCTCCCCTCCTCTCCTCATCCTCCTCCTCCTCCGCCTCCTACTCTCCTCCTCCTCTCCTCCTCCTCCTCCCTCTCATCCTCCCTCTCCCCCTCCTCCTCCTCCTCCTCCTCCTCCTCCTCCTCCTCCTCCTCCTCCTCCCACTTAAGGACCACATCCCAGAAGTAATTTCGTGAACAAATCTCGTGCGGAGGAGGTCGAGGATGCGCTTGGAATGCGGGAGTCCGGCATCTGCTCTCACGCGCGTGCGCGCCAAAAAGAGATCCAACAAGGGTCGCTGGAGCTGCCAGACATGAAAATTCATGCGCGGACAGAGGTATCGAACAAGGACTTGGCTTATGTTGTTCCCTTCCTACTTCAGGACCGCATCCCAGAAATAAGTTCGCGCACCCGGGAGAGTGTCGGAAGAGTGTCGAGAGAGTGTCGGACGAGTGCCTCCCAGGGCCCGACGCGTGAAGACCCTTGATTTGGGGGATGCTTTTCTGGTGCTCGAAATTCCTGCTCGTGATCAAGGCTAAGTAGGCTGGAACATCATGACGCTCGGGGCCGCCCTGCGTGCTGCGAAGAGAACTCTGCACATGCAGCAGTCTTGGCCAGGCCCACCCTTGGCCACAGGATCCGTGCATGTGCCTTCCTGGCCAAGGCAGGAGGGCGTATGCACCGATCTTGGGCTCAGGATGGACCTGGCCAAGATCGATGCATGTGCATGGTTCTTTTTCCTCCATCGGGGCCGCCCTGCGTGCTGCGCGCTCTGCGGAGCGGCTCGGGCCTGCGGCGGGCGCTGCGGCGGGCGCTGCGGCGGGCCGGGCTGCGGCCGGGGTGCTTCCCATCTAGGACTCCCCAGGGACCGCCACTTGCGCGCGAACTAGATAGACCGTCCAGCTGTTACCGGAGATTTTAGTACGCCTCTGGCACGTTGGTCCGGCAAATGTTTCAGGAACAGGGATGGAGAAGGAGGACATAGAGGAGGAGGAGGAGGAGGAGGAGGAGGAGGAGGAGGAGGAGGAGGACATAGAGGATGAGGAGGGAGGAGGAAGAGGAGGGGGGAAGAGGAGGAGGAGGAGGAGGAGGAGGAGGATGAGGAGGAGGAGGAGGAGGGGGGGGAAGAGGAGGAGAAGAAGGAGTAGGAGGAGTAGCAGGAAGAGGAGGAGGAGGACAACGACGACGACGACGAAGACGACGACGACGACGACGACGACTACGAAGCGGCGGCGAGGGCGAGGGCGAGGGCGAGGGCGAGGGCGAGGGAGTGGAGACGGTAAAGGCCGGCAGGTGAGGAGGGCTAGGGCGAGGGCGAGGACAAACGGCGGCGGCGCTGCGGCGGTGGCGAGGACGGGGACGATGACGACGGCGACGGCGAGGACGACGAGGACGACGAGGACGACGCGGGCGACGGTGTGCTGCGCTGCGCCTGACCCGCTGCCCCCGCACCCCAGCGAGGGCCTCGCAGCGTGGCGCCGCGCCCGGCGTCGCCGACTGCAGCGACGAGGCCACGCTGGCCTGCGGGGGGTGCGGGGGGCTCGGGCCGAGCGAAAGGGGGGGATTGGGAAAGGGGGGGTTACGAAATTTGCTGCATGCAGCTGGTTTCGGCCTCACCGAGGGGCCCATTCCTCGATACATGGCCGCCTCCGGCGCAGGGAGGCGCCAGGAAAATCAGCTACGTGAGCTGATTCTCAAACCCCCCCCCCTTTGCTATCCCCTCCTTTCGCCTGACCCGAGGGGCTCAATGGTCGCTCTATTCGTCGACGAGGTCGTCGTCCTCGCCGTCGTTGCCGACGAGGTCGCCAACGTCTCCGTCACACCGTCTTGGGCGTCATCGTGGTCTTCATCATCGGTGAAAGAGGGTGAGGAGGGGGAGGAAGAAAAAGGAAAGCGGGGACGACAAAGAGGAGGAGGAGGAGGAGTAGGAGGAGGAGTAGGAGGAGGAGAAGGAGGAGGAAGGCGAAGAGGAAAAGTAGAGGAGGGAGAGGAGCGGGGGATTGGAGGGGAGGGGGGAGGTTGAGGTAAAGGACGAGGAGGGTGGGGAAGGAAGGGGCCAGGGGAAGTCGAAGAGGGAGGAGACGGAAGGGGACCGCAGGGGCAACGCGGGGCGACCCCTTTCGCTCTGCGCGATGGGCCCCCGCCCGTGACTTGCTCTGCGCGGTGGGCCTCGCCCGTGACCCTTCCCCCCGCAAGCCCCTCACGAAGCGAAGCACAGGTGGCGGAGGGCACAGGGCGACGTCGCCGTCGTCGAAGTTCGCGTCGTCGCCGTCCTTCTCGTCCTCGTCGTCGTCGTCGTCGCCGTCGTGGCCTTCCGTCCTCGACGTCCTCGTCGTCCTCGTCGTCCTCGTCGTGAGCCCGAGGGGAAACACGGACCACCGCCACTGACTACCCAGGGGGGGGGCCGACCAGACAAGTGTGAGCGCTGGCACGCCTGGGCGCCGTCCCCCGTCGGGCGAGCGCCCGGGCGCGCCACCGCCCAGGGGGCCGCCCCCCTCCTCCTCCTCCTCCTCCTCCTCCTCCTCCTCCTCCTCCTCCTCCTCCTCCTCCTCCTCCTCCTCCTCCTCCTCCTCCCCCTCCCCCTCCTCCTCCCCCTCCTACTCTTCCGTAGGCATGTTTGCTCAAGCCAGCTTCAAGCCCCCTGGTCGCCACTCCTCCCGTGCATGGCCGGTCCGGAACGCGGCGCCGCAGGGGCGTGGGCATGCCGCCACGGGAGCCGCCTCTTCGAGGCGCAGCGGCAGCACGGGCCGCCGAAGACAGCCTGGTGAAGAAGCTCCTTGGCCAGATCGACGTGCTCAGCAAGGAGGTTGTTCGGGCCGAACGAAAGGGGGGGATAGGGAAAGGGGGGGTCACGAAATCTGCTGCATGCAGCTGGTTTCGGCCCCACCGAGGGGTCCGTTCCTCGATACATTGGCGCCTCCCAGCGCCGGGAAACGCCGGGAAAATCAGCTACGTGAGCTGATTCTCAAACCCCCCCTTTGCTACCCCCCCTTTCGCCTCGCCTGAGTGGACAGGCTGCGATACCCTCAGCATGGCCCTGCTGACGAGGTCGCCCGTCGCGAAGCCATTGCTCGGCCTGCTCTTCGCTCCCCTGTGGCTGGCGATCGCCTTTCTGGTGGCCGTCGCCTACGGCGGAACGTTGCATGGCACGCAGCGGCTTGCCCGAGTGCTGGTGCTCTTCGCGAGGCACTGGTCGCAGCCCAGGCGGGCCCACGACTAGGCGCAGGCGCCCCCTCGGCGACACTCCGAGGTGCCGTACCGCGCCGAGGTCGGCGGGCTGCAGAGCAATGCGGCGGCGCCGTCGGCCCCCGCTCATCCCGCAGCGCTGTGCCGCGAGGCTCTGACTTTCTTTCCAGGTGCTGGCGCTCATCAGTTTCGTGGTGGCGTGTGCAAGGTGGACATCCTCCTGGAAGCGCTGGCGCCCGCTGCCAATTTTCCCGCGCGCAAGGTCCACACCCTGCCGTGGATGGCTCCGAACGCAGCGGTGCAGCGTTGCCGCGCGAACCCGAGGCCCAGTTCACCACGCAGATGGACGAGGTTGTCGCCTGCTCGAGCTTCGACGCCGAGCAGGAGGTGTCGAAGCCGCAGGAGAAGGAGCCCGCGGTCGAGCCTGAGCGGGTCCTGGTGGAGTCCGTGGGCGCGTGCGCGGCCTTTGACGTCGAGGTCGGCTCGGCGTTGAATTCCGGCGCCGCGTAGCGCTTCGGGAGCGGGGTCACCGTTGACGGGCCCCCTGAGGCCGTGCCGACGCGGTCCCCGCCGAGCTGGCCCAGCTCTTTGCCCAGCTCGGGGGGGCCAGGGGAACGGCGAGGCTGCGCCCGTTCACCTACCTGGAACTCGGATGCTGTTCAGGTAGCGGCGGCCGACGTCGGCGCTGGGAGGTTGGCGCTGCACCAGCTGCGCCACTCTGGCGCCGGCGTCGACGTCAGCAGGCGCACCCGCGCGCCCCAGGAGATTCGAGGGCGCGGGTGTTGGGCCCGGGCGAGGAGCATGCATCGGTGCGAACGCAGCAGCCGCTTGAGCGCCGAGTGCGAGCGCCCCCCCCGACCAGAGACGCCTGTGCGAGGCCAGCGAGGCGCGCCTGATGCAAATCATGCCGGGGCTTGCCCACCCGGCCCGCTTTCACGACCGGTTGCTGTCCCGGCGAACACGCGCCGCAAGCTAGGGCCGACATTCCGTGGCAGCCGAGAAGTGCGGCTCAGTTTCGGCATGAAGGGCCGCTTTGTGGCAGATTTTTGTCGCTGGCAGTAGATGCGTCTCAAGAGCTGGCGAAAAGCTTGCATTTAATCCCACAGTTGGGACGTGTCTCGCGATCCAGCGTGGCAGAACCTCGTCGATCCCAGAGTGCTCGCCGCAATTGTGCGCGAGATTCGGCGAGGTTTCATTCTAGCTGCTGCTTTTGCACCGCCATGTCAGACATTCTCGGTGGCCCGGGAGGGCGGCGAAGATCCGTTCCCACGACCAACCCTGGGGCTTACCCAGGCAATTGCTCAGCGCGACGTGGACAAAGTCAGGACAGTCAGCAAAATCACTCGAGCTGCCCTAGGATCGTTCGCCCTTTTCCAGCAGCTCAAAGTTCTTACTGTTATTGAGCACCCGCTCACCTCGCATCTGTGGCACGCTCGCGAAATCCAGGCCCGTGCCAAGCCAAAACCCAGCGTGCGAAGCCAGCTCGCTTAATGTCTTGCTACGTAGAGGTTGCTGATCCCAAAGTCCTGTGAAGGAGCTGTCGTGGTCGGAATGGACTGCGTTTGCGATCGGGCCGCCCCCGCTTCCGAAGTCGCCCGGGGCCGTCCAGTTGCCGCGCATCCGCCCGAGCTCGCACATTGCATAGTCAGGGCCTCGCGGCCTCCAGCGTGGCTGCGCTCGGGCACAACAAATGCCCCCCCCCCTGGCCAGCCCCAGTGAACTCCCGACTTCGGGAAACTCGGGGAGGAGTGAGAGTGCGCATCGACTGCGACCTCTGGCCAAGGCGTCTCGGGGCTTTCGTCGGATTCATTGTCCTGCAATGTGAGACAGAGTTGCTCCATATGTTCTTGAGCGGTTTGAGCTTGGGCTTGTTGAGTTCGGTGGTGTCTAACGGCATAGTCTACCTGCGAAACCATCCAGGGAGTTTATGCGCCGGGATTTCCCTCTCACACTTGCCCCCCCCTCTCTCTCTCTCTCTCTCTCTCTCTCTCTCTCTCTCGTCTCTCTCTCTCTCTCTCTCTCTCTCTCTCCTTCTCTCTCTCTCTCTCATTCTCTCTCATCTCTTCTCTCTCTCTCTCTCTCTCTCCTCATCTCTCCTCTCTCTCCATCCTCTCCTCTCTCCTCTCTCTCCTCTCTTCTCTCCCTCTCTCTCTCTCTCTCTCTCTCTCTCCTCTCTCTCTCTCCTCTCTCTCTCTCTCTCTCTCTCTCTCTCTCTCTCTCTCTCTCCTCTCTCTCTCTCTCTCTCCTTCTCTTCTCCTCTCTCTCTTCTCTCTCTCATCTCTCTCTCTCTCTCTCCTCTCTCTCTCTTCCTCTCTCCTCTCTCTCTCTCTCTCTCTCTCTCTCTCTCTCTCTCTCTCTCTCTCTCTCTCTCCCCCCCCCCCAATCGCCAGTTTTCGGCTCCCACTCTCCCACCCGGGGAGGAAAGAGAGTGTGCATCGACTTCATCTCCCGGCCAAAACGTGACAAGGCTTTCGCCAGATTCGCGCCCCTGAAATGTGAAACAAGAGTTTCTCTTACCCTTGCCTCGTTTCGGCGTTTTTCGGGGTCTCCTGGGAGGCCCTCGTCGCCACCGCCAGATTCGCTTCGAAGCCTTCTGCCAGAGGAGCAGTTGCAATCGAAATTCTTGACGATTCGCGTATCCTCACCAGCCCATCCGGAAACAGGAATCAAGCGAGCTGCCCTTATCAAGGGGCGGCGACGAGCAGCCGTGGATGCCAGTTTGGAGGCCTCTTGGGGCTCTCTTCGGTGGGTAATTCGGGCCTGCCCGACCACGCTGCCAAGGACGGGAGCGGTGGAGACGTGATCCCTCCTACAGAAAAGGTGGAGTCACCCGACTTTGGAAACCCCCACGAGTCTCCTCCTCCTGTATCCTGTTCGGGCTCTGCCACGGAGGTCGACGACGACGGCCCTGGCGACAAGGCGCCTCAGCGGAGGCCAACGGCAGACAGCTCGGAAATCAGCTCTGACCGCGACCCTATTGCCGCCTGGGGTGGCCCGGCCAGCACCGACCAAAATGCCAGTGAAACCAGGGGATCAGATTACGACGAAGTCGCCCGCGACAGGGGCGACGCGCGGAGTCGTCGTCCCCCACTGCGCAACCCACAGGTTCCTGGACATAGGCCTACCTACCCTCGTTCAGCGGAGCGACATACATTCAACCTGCTGGCCGACTCACATGGGGGCCCCATGTACAAGGTCTGGCTGGGCACCGTGGACTTGGAGCGCCGCGGAGAGCCACCCGCCAAACGTCTCACCAGGCACCAAACGGAGTTGGGTGCAGTATTCTGCGCTCTGTGGACCGCCTACACGCAGGGCATTCGGCTCCCTGGATCCAGGGAGCCCAAATCAGACCCGAGGCTGCGCACGGACGCGACCATCAACAAGTGGTTGGACGACTGGAAGGGCTGCGGATACAACGCCTACTTGATGGACACGAGGCTCGTCTACCGCATCGATTGGGCCAAAGTGCGGGCCGAGTACCTGCGTCGCACCCGGCCCGACGGCAAGGGCAAGGGCAACCACCGGCAGAGCAGCTGGCGCGACCGAGCGACAAGCTCCTGGGACACCTGGGGCACCTGGCAGAGCGACTGGAGCGACGGCTGGCACGACGACCGCTGGCAGACGGGAGGCAAGCGTGGTGGAGGCAGACCTGACGAGCGTCGGGAAAAGAGGCAGCGATGGGGAGACTGAGCTCCCTTCCCACCCATCCCGCCACCTAGGTGGACAGATATTTCAACCTTACTACACGCTGTGAGCGGCCTTCAGCTGCCTCCCGTTCTCTCTCAACCGTGTGGCAGCCTCGCTGCCTCCTTCCCTGGTTCACACACTTCCTGCCTTTGGACCCAAGTGTGTCGACCAGCAATACCATCTGCATCGCAGCGCGGGGGAGCGCAGCGCGCAGACCCTAGTTGGCCCCTGGCCCCGCTGCAGTGGTTTTCACCTGTGGCCCGAGTGGCCCCGTGCTCGGCTACGCTGCTTCGGGACCGACCGAGGTCCACTCCCGAGACGCGCTTATAATCCTTGTGTTTGTCTATCAAACAGCGGCCTTCAGCTGCTCCTTCGACGACAGACCCGCCTGACGGCATCCTGCCGCCCCTCCTGGTACGTGCGCTTCCTGCCTCTGGACCCAAGTGTGTGTGCCAGCAATACCGTCCGCATTGCAATCACGTGTTGCGTGTGGCCATAGTGGCCCCTGGCCCCGCTGTAGCTGTTTTCACTTTGCCAGGTTCGGCCTGGCCCGCAGCTCCGAGACCGACGACTTGGTGGTTTTCGCTCCCTGGGCTTCCCAAGTTACTACGGCCTTCAGCCGTGCATCTCTACCTTTCCTGGGAGCGACCCTGGGCTCGGACCCATCGTCCTTGGGTCACGTGGTGTTCAGGCAGTCCTTTGACGTGGGTCGCCCCGCCGTTGTGGCGGAATGCCCACCTGGTCCGCTTGCACCGTCCTCTGACTGGGTCGCTGACGTGCTCCCGTTCATTGCTGCTTACCGCGGTTGGCCGTGCTGTGCCCCCTGTGGACGGTGATGTACGGCCTCGGCGTGTGATGGGCACTCGACCCCTCCATCGTCGCTCCCACGCGCAACCTGGTTGTGCGACCACTCCCTGGGACTCTGTGACCGTGAAGGGCTTGCTGACGTGGGTATACGGCAGCGTCGTCCTCTACGAGCGCTCTCCTCGACCTGGCGTTGCGTGGGTTGCGAGGCGCTGGTTGTCACTCAGTCTGGTACACGCCCACTTCCGATTGACCGCGTGTCCCTCGCCAGGTGGGTACTTGTGTACTTCTGCACTGCGGCACACCACATTTCTGGTCTCCTGCGTGCAGGCGCAGGCGCATCTCTCAGCAGTTGTTCCGAGGTTGCCCAAGTTGTCTATGACCTCTGGCTCGCTCTGTCAGCCGCCGGATGCGTTTTCTGAAGCTGCGACGGTTCGCTGGCGCTGTCAGAATTCCCCTCCTTGCTGGACGACGTCAGCTACGCTATCGGTCTGCTCATACCCGACAGACTCCCTGGGCTGACATTTCGTGCACGGAGTTTGGCGTTCATCGGTTGTCACGACCCATGACTGGGAATGTACGGCGCGCCATTTTGGCCGCGTCCGCTTTGCTTCCTGGGTGCCTGACCCTTCAGACTCCCTGGGTTGCAGCTTGCACGACCGCCTGGCCTATCAGACGCCCTGGGTTGCTGCTTGTACCGCCGCTTGATCCGCGGCCCCCGCGCGCGCCCGGGTAATTCGTCACGGCCGCAGCCCGACCGTGACCCCTCGCCGCCGGCGCTTCCGCCTGCGGCTGTATATAAAAAATATCCTCACCAGCCCATCCGGAAACAGGAATCAAGCGAGCTGCCCTTATCAGGGGGCGGCGACGAGCAGCCGTGGATGCCAGTTTGGAGGCCTCTTGGGGCTCTCTTGGGGCGCTCTTGGGGCGCCCATGGGGCGCTCGTGGGGCTCCCGGGGGGGCCCTCTGGGAGGACTTGCAGGGCTTGTTTGGGGCATCTTGGAGGCAGTCGAGCAGAAACTAATTCGGCGTATATTCGTGTACCCCCGTCTGGGCCCGAAAAGCATCCTCGTTGGGCCTTCTTGGGGCGTTTTTGGGGCAGTGTTGTGGCCATCCTGGGGCCTCCTGGACCATTTTGGAGCCATTTTGAGGCCTCAGTAGCCCGTCGGAAGCGAAAAGGCGAGGAGGCAACACATTAACACGCAGTAGATTTTGAAGGATGTTGGCCTCTTGGAGGCCTCCTTGGGAGGCTCGGAGGCCCTTCTCTGGGCCGTCCTGGGGCGATCGCGAGGGCCCTTAGAGGCATATTGGAAACTATCTTCAACCATCGTGGGATATCTCGTGCGATCTTGGAAGCCATTTTGGGCTCTCTGGGGCCATCTTGGGGCCACCTGGGGCTAAAAAAACGCTCTGGCACCTCGCAGGGGGGTTCCAGACACGGAGGGGGACCCCACACCCCGAAGGCGAAGCAGGGGGTTAACACAACGAGCTCTTTCGACCACTCGTGCCCAAAAGGGCCGGTGGGACTGGCGTTCAGCGTGGGCCGTTCTCACAGGAGCACCGTGTATCTTTCGGCCCAGGCCATCCTCAGCCCGTTTGGGCGCGCGCATGCTTGGCTTTGATGCCGTTCCAAGAGTCTTGAACGCGCTCCAGGACAGGTCCAGGGAGCAGCGGTACCGGTCTCTCTGTGTGCGTTTCCCTGCGGCGTGGCCGATCTTGGATTCTGCCCACGGCCTTTAGTGGGCGCGCCTCGCCCCGGAGGACGCCGACAGCTTCGCCAGCTTCGACGAGGACCTCGCCTAGCAGTCTGAGAGGGCGCGCAGGGCTGGCAAGACCTGCACCCGCGTGTCCACTGCGTCTTGGAGTTTCGGGCTCCCCTGCCCAGGAACCACAGGAGGAGGAGGAGGAGGATCGAGGAGGAGGAGGAGGATCGAGAAAGAGGAGGAGGATCGAGGAGGAGGAGGAGGATCGAGGAGGAGGATCGAGGAGGGGAACCAAGGACGGCCCAAGATGGCACCAAGACGGCCCCACGACGGTCCTCAGGCACAAACCCAACTATATGGCCCCCCAGAGGCTAGATTTGTTATCCATATCCGCTGCGCCTCGTCCATTTGGCGCCGCTTCCCAGAGAGTCCCAGACGCATTGCGCACGCAGGAACCCGCGCCGAGACGGCGCATCGGCTGAAAAGTGGATCGTATAGAAGGCCAGGACCGATCCATGCCGAGCACGGGTTCATGCGGACTCCGCGCGCTGGAGCGCAGCTTTTGCAGATTGCAGTAGGGTCGGACTGAGGTATAAGATCGAGGTCGATTCGAGGAGGGTACTCAACTTCTCTTCGTATGTTTTGGATGTTATTGTGCATCTTGGGAGGATACCGTTGGATGTCTGTTGTTTTGGCCGACGGAGGGTTTCGTGTTCTTGAGGGATGTTCTTCTAGCCTGAGTCCGATTGTAGTGGGCGGCAGTGGGTACAGTGGAAACTCATGCCAATAAACACTTTGCTTGCCTCCAGAGTGCCCTGGGTTTTCTTGGGGGTTCGATGGTTTTGCTATGGAAAGCGTGACGCTACCACACCAAACATAATTGGACGTCCTGGGGTATGAGGGTTTGGTTTCTTGTGGAAGGTCTCTTGTGGTCGAGCTCCTACTGCATTCGAGACGTGCTGGATGCGCCAGGAACCATCTTGGACCTTCTCGCGCCATTGAGGGGGCCATCTCGGGACATCCGGAGTCGTCCCGGAGCCGTCTTCGCCCCAAAGCGCTTTGAATTCTCAAAATTGCTGCCCTCTGGGATTTCGTACTTCCGCGAACGCGGGGGTCCTCAATCAGGGTGTCCCTGTCGCAGCCCCAAATCATTGTCTCTTGCGGACCTTAGTAGGCTGTGGGACCGGCTTGGAGCTCTTCTGGGCCCCTGTTGGGGCTACAGTCGGGGCGCTCAAGAAGGACCCCTTTTCGTTTGGGAGCGGCTCGGCTTTCCTTGACTGTTTAGCAGTTTACCTCAGGTTTTCCTGAGGTCTTGCATGGGTGATTGAAGTGGAAAAGGGGCCTCGTTCCCTATGTAGGGTTCCTTGGGTCACCGCCCCGACTGTATGGCGTCGGCGTATCGATGCAAGTCCTGGACGCATCGCAGCGCGGCAGGTCGGACGGGGGCCGGCCGAGCAGCGCCGCCGAGCCTCGGCGCGCACCGGCCGCCGGGCGCAGGCCTCGCGTTAGGCCTCCTCGGGCCGGGCCTGGCGCCAGGCCTCCTCTGCCTCCTGCCTCCCCCTCCTCCCCCTCCCCCTCCTCCTCCTCGTCCTCCTCCTCCTCCTCCTCCTCCTCCTCCTCCTCCTCCTCCTCCTCCGCAAACGAGGGGCAGCAGGTGGACAGGGCTCGGACCCTAAGAAGCAGAAGGCGGAGGAGCTGCTCGCACAGGCCAGAGGACAAGCAGGCAAAGGCGCCACCAAATCCCAAGTCGTGCAGCAAATCGTGCTCATTCTGGCCAAGCTCGTCCTCAGCATGGCGGGCGACCTCAGGTCAGATATCAGCGTCGTCTTCGTCACAGCGATCATCCCCTCGGCTGCCCCGTGCATCGAGGCAGCGATCAAGGCAGGCAAGAACTACCACAAAGCGGCGATGGAGCTCAAAGAGAAAACGAAAGAGGACGAAGGAGTGGACACGGCAGCCTTGGGCACTCCACATCTGCACGTGTGGAAGGACTTCATCAGAGCGCTCCTCGCGAGTACAGAGGAAGGCCAGGCGCGCACCACGCTGGGAACATACTGGACGGAGAACGTCATGAAGTACGAGCTGAAAGACGCGGCAGCGGAGATCAAGTACTTCAGGGTGCGCGTCCCACAGGGCAAGGAGGCCAAGAAGAAGTCGAAGCGCATGGAGGGCAAGGTGCGGTTGCAGTGGGCTCTCTCGACGACCAGGATCGCACACGAGCTCGACGGTGTCATTCGCTCGGAGATAGTCAGGCACGGCGGGGAGATCTTGACTGGAGCTTCCCCACGCGGGGTTTTGGAGAGGGACGGGCGCGCGCTCTTGAACAAGCTGGAGCCGTCCTAGGAGAGGCTGAAATGAGGAGGATGAGGACCCTGGCAGGAAGTGAGCGTCTGAGTGAGCTCGTGTCTAGGGGCGTGAGCAGGGAATCGATTCTCGCCTCTTTCACTTCCTCCCTCTCTTAATCTGCTCTGGAAGACCCCAGGGGCCGTTTCATCCCGACCGAAAAAATTCAGCCGCGTCCTAAGGGACGGGGTAAAGGCAAAGGTAGGGGAAGACAAAATCGTCCCCCTGAGCAAGGGAGAGGCTCATGACAGTCTAGTACCTAGCCTTGTAGGGTGGGATGCCGTGTGGGGGGCCCCGCGCTGCTTGGTGAGGTGCTGGCGTTTTTTTTAGTCTTTCCTGGTGAACGAACCTGTGGGCCGCCACCCTAGCGCCCCGAGCTCATACCTCACGGGTTGCCTGGGGGCCCGAGTGTTTTTTCCACCAGTGCCAGTGTGTAGCAATTTTGCAGCCGCTCAGGCATGCCGCCCAGAGAATTTCAACGACAGGAGGGGAGACCCCTCGTACCCTCGTTCGCCCAGGGATGTCAGTCAGTCAGTCTCCTCCTCCTCCTCCTCCTCCTCCTCCTCCTCCTCCTCCTCATCCTCATCCTCATCCTCATCCTCATCCTCCCCCTCC